CTTTTAGTGACTCACAAATTTGATTTTTCAGTTTCACGGTTTCCCATGATTTGTAGCCATTTAGCATTACTGGCAGAATATTGGCATTAAGGATATATATTTGTCTCAGGGAGCAGCTTGGAATTGTTAAAAGCACTGCACAATTTCCCAAATGCAATCCAGCTTGCTCCATTTCATTATTCACTTCCGGCCCCAGTTCGTTGTCCATCTGCAGTATTTGTCCAAGATATATGTACTGAGGGACTCACTCAGTAGGCTGCCTATACAACTGCATTCATAGTCTGAATGACATACATTCTTCAGCCGTTAGTTTTTACTTTGTGAATTGTTAGGCTATTCTCCTTTGGGGTGGTCATGGAACTCATTGAGGAGGTCCCATAGTATTCTGGGGGGGAGAAGGAGAGATGCAATCAGCACAGGGTCTAAGAAATCCCTCAAAACACATGTGTTGTTCCCATGATTTCACCAGCATAGAGGACTCCCTCTATTAAACAGATCAGTAACTCATTTGTAACTTCATAGAATTTTGGATAGCCATCCAGTGTAACCTTTACTCACAAAAGGAATCACCACCATAATATAGCTGACAAATGATTATCCAGCCTCTGCTTGAAGACCCCCATGTTGGGCCCGCTGCCTCATTAGGCAGACCATTCCCCTTTTAGAAGGCTCTAATTGTTAGATGCTTCTACTTAATCAAACTTATATTTGCCTCTTTTTCAACATTTACCCATTGCTCCCGATTCTGTCCTTTAAGGATGAACCGAACAAGCCTAATGCTTCTTCCCATATCTGAACACACATTAGGAGCAGCAATATGCAGTAGAAAGTGTGATGAATTTGGAGCCAAATCCCAGTTCTGCTTCTTGCTACCTGTATGATCTTGATCAATTCAATAAACTTCCCTGGGCCTGAGTTTCTTCTATAAAATGAGAGGATTGGGCTAGAAGGCCTTTAAACCCCCTCCTAACTTTAAATCTATAATTTTATGAATACATCTATCATGATCCCCCTAAGTCTTCTCTTCTCCAGGATAAACACCCCCAATTCTCACAAGGCATGAATTTGAGACCCTTCACCACCCTGGTTATCCTGCTTGGTATACTCTCCAGTTTATCAATGTCCTTCCTAAACCATGACTCCCACGAAGAGTTGCTTGTAGCATTGAGACGTTAAGTTACCTGCCTACAGTCACACAGCAAGTATGCATCAGAGGCAAAATTTGAACCCAGGTCTTTCTAGCTTCATCCTGTCTCTGACTGTCAAATGAAACTTCCTACCTCCCAGGCTTATTGGGAGGCCCCCACAAGGTAACAGCTGTGAAAGTGCCTTATAAAAGTCTAAAGCATTGAAGAAATGGAAAGCATTATCCTTACTAATTGATATTCCAGGCGATACATGGGAGAAAGCATAGTTGCACTTCACCCTTTGGAGGCAGGGGTTCAGTGGCACTCAGAGAGGACCCATAGCTTTGGCACTAATAGCAACCTGTTTGCAGAGTGTCTAGACATTTTAGTCCTTTTTTTGGAAGCTGACCAACTTCGCCACGCTTCCTGAGCCAGAAATCCTCTATTCAGAGGACTTTTCTATCTCCCTTTTCCCTCCCAGTTGAGAGGATTCATCTGATATTTTTTCCCCGAAGTATCCAGCCACTTCTAATTGGGACAAGATAGCAATTAGAGACGTCAAAGAGACAGACTTTGCTCAGCAACTTGCACAGGGACCACAGATTCATTCTTTACGTGGCATGCACAGCTGGTCTCTGCGAGCCAAATCCTCCCAAGTACCAGCAAAAAAACAAAACACACACTCACGAGTGTCACATTCTCCTCCAATTGCCATTAATACAATGTGTTCTCAGTCTTGGGGGTTCCAAAGAAAGTGGTTGAACTTTCATACAGACAACTGTGGTAAATAAGTTTGAAAAGAAAACCCGATAGTGGATTTCTTGGGAGATGGGAGGCAAAGGGCATGACTAGAAGCCGTGAATTGTTTGTGTAACCCTCCAACAGCCTCTACCCTCAACACATACTGAGCTTTCTCTTTCATGATTGTTTTAGCCTCGTTTTCCCTTTCAACCAGGATCACTCAATTCTTTGAGGGAAAATTAACATTCATTATGCAATTTATCTCTCCCCTTTTAATCCAGAATGTCGGTCTCCAAGGTCCATGCTCAATAATTAATGTCTGTTCTCATTTTCCATCCTCAAGAGCATCTATTCTTGAACTGTAGGGTCAACAATTAACACTAATTATGGCTTTTTCTCTCTACAATGCTAGTTCCCAGAATCCCAAGTTAACCCTGTTTATCCTAAGTTATCTGGATGCATGTATATACTTGTGAGCCTGCTGGTACTTAAGATCATTAAGTGATACTCTTTTTCAAGCCCCACCACAGTTAACAAATCAATCAAACACTAACTTTTTTTTCTGGCCTTTTCACTAGTGTATTGATCATCAATACTAGAACGACAAAGGAATGAGTATTTGTAAACAAATTTGCCTGAAAGAGTCAGAATTGAAAATATATCATAGGATTTGGTGATGGAAGGGAACTTAGAATCTTTCATATATCCTTGTTTCATACTTATGTGAATATAAGTCTTATTCCTCTTCCATCCTCCACCCCTGCCCTACCCATCCTACCTCACCCCACAACTACTTCTACCATTACTAGAATGTAAGCTCCTTCAGGCCAGAAATCTTCTTTTTTTTAGCCTTGCACCCTCAGTGCTTCAAATGCTTATTTATTTTTTAATACTGACTTATGATTTCGTGGGCATAAGCAATGCCCATTAAGGAAATATCGTAATAATTTCTCTCCTTTATCATATGCAATTGAATCTGATCCCCTAAGATCATTCACTGGTGTCACCATGCCAAGACTCATGTTCAATGCAGCCATCCCTCCCTGTGGTGCTGCTGGATAAACATTAGGTACATTTGTGGTCATGAAATCTGCAATTTGTTGTAATGCCAATAGGCCTGTGGGATTCTTCCCTTTCTTAAACTGTTCCTGGATCAGTAATTGTTCTATAACTCATTGCCTTTAGAGAGACTGTGTTGGAGGCACAAAGGGTTAAGTGACCTGTCCAGAGGGATACAGTTCGTGTCAGGGCAGGCTTTGAACCCAGGTCCTCCTGATGAAGTATTCTAACCACTCCATCATGCTACCTTTCAATGATTAATAAAAATTTTAATGATTTAAGGATAATAAATATTTATTGAATTGAATTAATACTTTGAATTGAAATCCTTAAAGGGGGAAAACCTTAGAGATCCCTTCATTTTACACAGAAGAAACAAAGAACTTGCGGTAAATGACTTACCTAAGAAGAAATGAACATGATAGCTGTAGGAAGGAGAATGGAGAGATAAGTAGCACCATAGTAGGTAGAGTACTGGGACTCAAGTCAGGAAGATTCGTCTTCCTGAATTCAAATCCAGCTTCAGACACTTACTATCTGTGTGACCCTGGGCAAGTCCCTTAACCCTGTTTGCCTCAGTTTCCTGGAGAAAGAAATGGCAAATCACTCCAGTACCTTTGTCAAGAAAACCCTAAATAGGGTGATGGAGAGTCGGACAAGACTGGAACCATAGAACAACAAGGAATGAGAATAACTCGCACACAAGATATCTACGATAGAAAGGGATAGGGTAGGGGGAGAGAAGCTTGGAAAGAACCTGGCTGTCTTTTTGGCTAGAACTGGACAGCCAGTGTGATTTTCCAACGCCCCCATGATTCTACTTTTCCACCTTTAGTATCTGGACTGCAACTAGAGACTGTGGACACCACATGCCTGTCTATCATCCACAATGAGGCCACTGCTGCTAGTGCTGCTGCCTCATGCAACATCTGCTGTTCAAATTTGTGTTATCTACTCAGATTTTATGTCTGGAATTAACTGTTTAGTGTGCTTCTCCTCATATAAGCTTTTAGCTCCAGGTTTTCACATTCCTAATACTTTAGTTGTCTCTTTCTGGGGGATCGTTAAACAGTGACCTAGAAAAGGTTATTCTCCATGATAGCATCTACAAGTTTTCCAAATGATCTAATTCTTCTCTGGACTGAAAAATCAGTATTTCTGTCCATGATTACTATCCTCCCTTAAAAAGTTTTTTTTGATAATTGATTTATTTATCTTTAGTTTTCAACATTTACTTCCATAAGATTTTGAGTTTTAAATTTTCTTCCCCTCCCACTCCTCTTTTCCTCCCAAGACTGCGTGCAATCTGATATAGACTCTACTAATACATTCATATTAAGCATATTTTCCCATTAGTCGTGATGTAAAGAACAATTAGAACTAATGGGAGGAACCACGACAATGAAGCAATAAAACAAACAACAAAGGAAAAGGAGAGCAAATAGTATGCTTCCATCTGCATGGATGTGGATAGCAATTTCCATCCTGAGTCTTTTGGAGCTGTCTTAGATTCTTACATTGCTGTGAAAAAAATCTAAAATTTTTTTTATTATTTTTTTTTTCAATTAACAAGCATTTCCTTTTTCTCCCTCGCACCTCCCTGCTACAATGGAAAAAAGAAAAAAGAAAAACAAAATCCCTGTCATAATAAATTCCCATATTGGCCATATCCAAAAATCTACAACTCATTCTACATATTTAATCTACCACCTCTCTGTCAGGAAATGTAGCATTCTTCACCATCATTCCTCAGGAATCATAGTTGGTTATCTCATCAATCAGAGTTCTTAAATCTTTCAAAGACGCTCGTTTTATAATGCTGTTGGTGTTCCTTGGTTTTGCTCACTTCCTTCTGAGACACGTCATACAAGTATGCCTAGCTTTGTCTGAACCATTTCTTCAATCATTTCTAAATAGTGCCATAGTGTTCCATTCTACTCATATATTAATGTTTATTATTAATAACTAACAAGCTAGTAATTTGTTCAGTCATTCCCCCCTTTTGTGTATGCATGACAATTTTCACAATACATATCAAGATTACCATTTAATATGCCCCTTTTTTCTTTCCAGAATATCAATTTGTAAATTCAAGTACCAATCTTGGTGAAGCATGCTCAAGTGATCAGCATGTCAAGAAAGGTAAGGTTCCCCCCAGAAAACATATATATGTGTTATCTATAAGCTATTTAGCTTATTTCTAAGGACTTTTTATATTTAATTTAATTTTCAATAAGTGGTTTTTTTTTTCCCTTTCACTCCACCCTCATTGGAATAAAAAGGAAAAAGAAAACATTTGTACCAAACATACATAGCCAAGTAAAACAAATTCCTTCCTTGGCCATGTCAAAAAACGTATGTCTCAGTGCATCTCACTGAAAGAAAGGAGAATGGGTAATAAAGTACTTCTTCATCAGTCCTCTAGAATCATGGTTGATTATTGTTTTGATCAGAGTTCTTAAGTCTTTCAAAGTTGTGTGACTACTTTTGTTATTGTATAAATTGTTCCCCCTGGTTCTACTTCTCTTGTTCAATTATGGACCCAATTCATTGCACATGTGTATTAGCTGTCCATAAGTCTGATTATTGATCCATAAGTTCTAGAAGTCCACCCAAATCCATGTTGTAATCTGAGCAACAAACCTTCTTCATCCACTTTTCCTGTATGGAAAGTCAAGTCTTGGTGAGTGGTGAGTGGTTACAGATCTCTTCTAGGAGCCACTTGGTACAACCAATAAAATATTATCTACATATACAAGCATCTGAAGGATTTCACCATTCAAAGATACTCCCTCCTCAACTTGGATTCTACCCTGGATTTCCTCCATCACAGTGGTGAATACCTCTGGCAAGCATACCTCTCCCTATTTTATGCCTTGCCCAATGTTTATGATAAGAGATTCATTGAACAGGGTTATCTTTATGGTTGTATCTTTTAAAGAACTTTAAATGATTTTGAGTATGGCTGTAAGACATCATGTTGGAAAAGAGCCCATAGGGCAGTGTTTCATCCTCCTAAGTCAAATACTTTTCCATAATCAACAAACAATAAACAAAATGGGATCTTATATTTTCTACATCTTTCAGGCAGTTGTGAAATAGATGTGACCCACTGTTGAATTTTGATTATAAAAGCCAATGTTCATTCCCTACTAAATATTCTCATTGAGGATCAGTCAGCCAGTCAACAAGCATTTATTAAGTGCAAGGCACTGTGCTAAGGATACAAAGAAAGGCCTAATTAAAATTTGGTAACATATGTTTATAATAAATCCAGCCATCATGGTTCCATGACTTCTTCCAGCTCCATTCAGCATCAGGTGAGTAGGAGAAGAAGCAGAAGCAGATGATGCTTGAGACTTGAGCTCTCCTCAGCTACCTCTCTCAGTAGATGACCATACCTTCCATTTTAACAGACTCCTCTAGACACTGTACCTATATGCACAGAGAGACTGGATTAAGTCTTGGGGGGGGGGTTGGCCATTAATTAGAGGGATTAGGCTCGTTCCTATGTTCTTTGGGGGTTTTTAATACCCTTAACCCAGAGATTGGAGGAAAATTACTTAAAACCTTGGTTTGTTTCACATCTAGGGTCTCTCTAAAGGGCAGAAAAGAAGTGTATTCAAGTGTAAATCAGGTTGGGACAGCTGTTTATTTCCTTTACACTGAAGAATTACTTAATACAAGGATTCATAGACATGTATCAACAAAAGCTTAAAACATGAAGCAGTAGCTTAACTTATACCTGCTTTCCCAGGAACTGAGACTTTAGCATCTAAGCATGAAGTAGTTTGAAGGACTTTTCAGTAGTCAATTTTCACCTTAACATTGTACAGTCTAAACAATTCCCTCCAAGTCGATGATGGCCTTGGCAAGTCAAGCCAGAGTTTGGGCTCACCTGGCTTGCTAATAGTTGCCTTCACCAACAAGCATTGTAGTGGATATAGACACCTCCCATTGTGTAGCCAGTACTGTACTGACTGGGGGTTCAGGACCTCAACTCATGGGGCTGCCTCAAAAACTAGATATATCTTTCTCAATATCAATATTCAATTACCTATAATAAGACAAAAACATCCATGCACATACAAAGGAGAGAGGCAACCAGAGGCCTAGGCTCAAGCTCCCTTCACTGAGTCCCTGTTCTAGATGATCTAGATGCATCTGGACATTCTAGATGCTCTGGAAGCAATTCACCATGCTGATGGAGTAGGAGAGGATATCCGTTCCTTATCCCTCATGGGAAATCCCAGAGTTACATTATGTCAGCTAGAAAGTAGAACGGGGAGATAGAAGGTCTGCTTGGTGGCCAATATTATGATTGTATCATCATCTCAAAGCATTGAGCCCCACATATCCCTGGAAGTTATTAGAGATACTCAAACACATCCTTATACATGCCACATGGTATATAATCCCAAATACATAGAAATACACTGGGTTTTTTTCATTCTGTTATGACTACAATAGCTGATACTACCTCCTAAATTTACTCTTCATACATTCCAATTAACTTCCCCAAGGGTGTACTCATCTTTTCTTCTTCTTCCTTTTTCTCCCACTTTTTTTCTTTGCAATTCTCCATGCTTCTAGAAGTTTTTGTTTTGCTTTATATGAATTATGTGTTCTACAAATCCTCATTTGAAAATGAATCTATGCTCTTGGGCCTCATAACTAATCCAGCTGAAAAATTCATTGGGTCCAGTTCACCAAATCCAGGGAGATGATTGTGTCCGAGGAGCATAGACCAGGATGTCTGGGATCCTCTAAGCTCACATTGCCTCCTACATTTGCAGTGAACTATTAGAGCCCCCAAATCATTCCAACTGGCTATGTGTGCTGATCCACTCTCAGTCTCTCTTGACAATTCTACCCAGGCTAACACCACTAGTCTCTGTTTCTCTAATCACATTGGCTTGATTGGAAGGTTTCTCCTGTGTTTTATGTTCTGTTACTCCCCCAACTCAAGTTAAAAACTCCATTAATAAGCTTGCCTTCTTCCAATTCAAGCCTGGTAATGGGCCATTTACATTCAAATGTCACTATAAAAAATAATTTATTAACTTTTGAGAGAAGCTCTTGTTCCCAAGACATGGCCAAACCCTTGAGACTGGGCTTGCTATAGTCTAAGAAAACAGAAGTTGAGTAAAAAGATGTTTTATTCCAATTTGGAAGAAAAAAGTATCTCCCTCGGATTTACTAGGCATTGCCATATTTAAATTCAGGCTGACTGGTCTCTTCTAGACGCTTCCTTTGAGATCTTTTGATAGAATTCCCTAGGGCTTGAATCTGGCCCTGAGACATTTTTCAGGTCTAAGAACTATTTACATAGAGCCCCATCCTCCCCTCCCCATCAAAGAAGTTTCCAAGTGAAAATGCCTGGTGTAGGCAAGATCTTAAATCTTGTCCCAAAAATTTGATAATGACTAGTATGTAAAATGGCTATCTTGGGTCTTGGTCTCCTGGGCTAAACAAGCAGAGACTTGAGATTTATTGTTACAGGACAAACACTCTATAGGTCATTGGTTTCTTGAGTCACAGCATATAAAATAAAGTATTTTTAGAAGTCTTCCTCTTGAGGAAAGCCCAAAGAGGCTATGCAGAGGGATGAGGGTTGTCCTTCCTTTTATGGTTAACTTTTCACTGGAAAAAAAAACTTTTTAAAATTATCTGCATTTGCATTTTTCCCCTTTTCATGTATGACAAAAGAAACCAAAAGAGGAAAATCACTTTAAAAAAAACAGAATTGAAATGGGGGGGGACAGAAGACTTGAGTGATATCTGAATTTAACAAACATTAAAAAAAAAAAAACAACAACAACCAGAAAGGCAAGGCTATATTGAGCGCTTTATAAATCACAGGCTAAGTTTCCTCTTCCTTGATTCTATTATTGATCACCCAGTACTTGAGTGAGAGAGAGGTGAGGACAGGAATTGCCAGAGCCTGACCTTGGTGCAGTTTGCTTTTCAGTGGCTGCTCCTGCTTCTCACAGGGTAAAGCCTGGGGATCTTGGGCATTGGGAATGGGTTGGCCTTGAACCCTTGTTAAGAGGTTTCTGTGAAATCTTGTGACTGTGGCTCTGTCTTCCTTGCCACCCACCGATCTAACATTGGAGCCTGCCTGTCTGAGCATTCTTTCCCAGGCCCTGACAAAGATCTGGGAAGGAGTCAGATATCTTACCTCACCTGATAAGTAGACCCCTTGGTGCTACATCTACATATTGACAAACTGATTGAGGTTAGGGGTGGTGGGGAAGGGGAGTCTTCCCATCCTGGGAAGAAAGAAAACATAAAAGAAGGGGGAAATTCAGAATGAAATTTGGTTAAGATTTCTTTATAGAAACCAAGCTTGGGAGTTAAGTACATTTGGTGAAGTATTTGGATTACAGGACATTTCAGGATCTGTCTTCTGAACTACTAATCTCTTCTTCTATCCTGCTTTTCAAGTTTTGAGTGTTTGATGAAGGATTCCATGCTCTGGAAAAAGAAGAAAAGGGAGGTTTGGGATGAGATTCTAACAAGGGTCATCACTGAAGCTGACAGATTATCGAGCAAGAATGCTATCTCTGAGCTAAAAGCCTGTGGTCCAATTAATGCTAGGGCCTGTGAGTCTGCCTTCATAGATGAGATGGTGGGCAGCCAGTTATGGCGTGGGTTCACAGTTTATCTCTTGAGTAATAGGAATGCTCACCACAGAAAGGCAATGCTTCTCCTATTTTTAGGCATAACTTCTTGTCATCCAGTTCCTAATCTGTGAGTGTGCACCTCAACCTCTATGCCTCACAAAGGAATGGGCCCTGCCTCCACAGGCCCTGCCCCAGTGAATTGGCAAATGTAGTTAGTTTCTTTGGCCTTGATAACAGTGTTAGAGATTGCCCTGCTGTTCAGAGAGGATGTTTGACCAGTCCATTGCTTTATCTCTAAGGAATGTGGTTTCAGTTAAGAGTCTCTCCTCTCTGACAACTTAGACCTTTAGTGAACTGCTGAGGTCACATAGCCAAGAGATGTCAAAGTCCTAAGTGATTTTTCAGCCTCATGTCTAAAACATGTTTACATTTCTTGAACCCTGGGTGATAGAATCCTTCTGCTTGTGTTAACAAGCATTTCTCCTATTTATTAGAATTCATAAGTTTTATGTCAAGGCTATCAATGAGGCCTTCCAAGCTACAGGGAAGGGACACAAGTTTGCAAGCTGAATCTGTCTGAAGAATGAACCATGGCCAAGTAACTGTTGCATGGCAAGATGAATTGGGGTAAATACAAGCAAGGCAGGAAAAGAGAAATGTTTTCAAGATGTACTGAAGTCTATTTTCAAACAGCCTTTGGTCAGTGGCCCTCAGTTTTCTCATCTGTAAAGTGAGGGGGGGGGGTTGGACTAGACTGACTTTGAGGTCCCTTCCCACTCTAAATGGATGATCTTGTCATGCTGTGATCTCATAATATGGACAGCTGGGGGAAAACAGAAGTAATGCATCAGACCATGAGAAACAGGGAGTGGGGAAACCATTCCAAAGTAAAGTCTTCAGGTCAATAGATATTCCAGGTTACGGTGACCCAAACAATGAGAGGTCCTCCAATGAACCACTAGGGTAGAACCAAAAGGGAGAGTGTTCACAAGTACAGAATGAGGGAAAAACCATTAGATAGACATTGGTCTTTTCAACCATTTGAGGGGACACAGATCATAATTACTGTCAGTGACCTCATCTTCAGAGATGAACGACAACGATAGATAGAAGGATATGAATGAATATAATGACCAGGCTTACATGATGCAAGCCAAGAGCATCTGTTTAGTTGTATCTGCTTCTCAAGCAAATTGATAACTCCTTATTTGTTGATCCAGATATTTTTCTCTACACTAAATGCACTGTTTTAAGAGAAAAAGAAAATGAATGAAATCCTGGGACCCTCCTCTTATCCACATCCCCAGCAGCCCCCTTTGCTATACTTCAAGGAGCCATGATTTCATTGCCATGGTTACTCCCTCCACCACTGTAAACTGCAATTCAACAGGCATCGATATAAGCACTTATTATGTTGGGCACTATAGTACATACAGAAAACAAATAAAACAATCTTGCCTGTCCTTAAGGAGTCTATACTCTACTGTAATCCCTGTCTACTTTAGTAAGCAGACTTGGAAGTTGCTGTGACCCCTTACCCCTCAAAAAAAAAAATCAATCTTCAGGGAATATCTTCTCCTGAATGGTTCACACACATCTCAATCTCAGAATGTCCAAATGGAACTCATTGTCTTTTCCCCTAAATTCACCCCTCTTCCAAGTTTCTGTACTTCTATTAAGGGTACCACCATTCTCCCATTCACCCAGATTTGTAATCTGAGAGTCATCCTTGACCTCTTCCTAACCCTATCCACATCCAATTAGTCATCAGATCTTATCAATTATATCTTGTAGAAGGAACAATATTTG